TTGCCCTGATGATCGCTCACTACTGTGTAGTACAGCCTTGAACTATTGCCACCTAAGCTACCGCTCTCAACACCACAAAAGAAGACGTTTTAGCTCATGGGGTTGGTGGCTGTTGGGTGGTGATACCACTGAGATCCGCAATTCATTGTGGGCAATAAAGCTGACTAAGTTACACTCTTACACCTATCAGCCAGGCATCCCAGCAGCCCCTTCTCCCCCTCTTGGCTGTGTCAGATTTCGTCCCGCTCCCTTTGAAGTGCATTGATGGGCACCCAGGGTTTTCCCTCACCCGCTAGCCAGAAAAAGCCCAGATCGTGATTGGTAGGTGGCTGCAGATGGCATAGCTGCCCCTAAGCCTGCGAATGCAGACCCCTCTCTTTGCACCAGCGGGTACAGGACATAAAGCTGTCACTGCTGAGGATCTCAGAGAAAGCTCTGATTGAGCCTTTACAAAGGCTGGGTGTGAAATGACTGGGGTGTTTTTGAACGTAAGTAACATTGACTCGCCCTCAAGTCACATGTTGACTGACTCATAATTTAACACAAAGAAACTTTAATTACAACCGCCATCTTCCATGTGGTAAACGGCTAATGATCTGATGGACAGAACACAGCACAACATGTGGTAAACGCAGTGTTTAAAAGAAAGAGAAAAACAGCCTGAAACAATCTGGCTTACATATAGTTTAGATAGAAGTATGCCATCCAGCAGCATAGCTAATTTAGCCAAAGTTGTGAGCTAATTAACCTGAAGGTTTAGTAAGTTACATATGTGGATTAGCTATTATGCTAGATAGCATAGTTGCTATGCAAACTTCAGATTAACCAACCATTTCAAGAGACTCGTCTCAGGCTTTGAATTGACTTGTAAACATCTCTGCTACTAACTTCTCTGGACAGCTCAACACATTTGGAGGAGAATGCTAAATTCCAAATTAGCTAACAGAAGCCTGCATTGGCTAGCATCACACTGAGAGAAGGAAGAGAGGGAGGGCCATCCTACCCACCCAGAGAGAGAATGGACGATTATGCTCTCATAGACTCCCAGCCATGGATGGCTGTGGTATCACTAGGAAACTCACAATAACATGATAATAATGGCAAAGTCTAGACAAGTGGTTTGTAATTCTTTTCCTGGTGATCAACCTTCCTGTAGACTTTAGCTCCATGTCTAGTTGATCCTACTTGATCCACCTAATTATTGCTTTCAGAAAGCCATCAATTAGATGAATGAGGTTAGATCTGAAGGTGAAACCTGCAGGAAGGTGGACCTCCAGGACGAGGTTTGGTGACCACTGGCTTAGACAGTTGCACCACTTGGGAGGGAAGTTTTGTCATTTTTGATGGGAAAACTCAACTCATCCCAACCCATCAACCCATCCCACCCTAGTGGTCTATTATCAAGCCTCCTTACCCATCAACTACCCCAAGACATTTTGAGCTTGTGCTTGCGGGACCCGTTAAACTGCTTGCTTGGAACAAAAACCCGAAACACTATATGTTAATGATAACTCCCCCAAGGAAGATATGAGTTCATACAATGTGCACTGTCAGTCTGTCCACCTTTGGAGTTCAGGATGGTTCCTGAATAGAGGGAAATCTCTGGCACCAAAAGTGGCAGTTTGACTGGCATGTTTGAGAGCCTCTATGTAACTGGATACACTTTCACTGCTGGAGCTCTACAGCTAACAGAGCAGTATGCTGTCAGGCATTTCACACATAATACAACCCCTGGAAAAATACAACGACAAAAGGTGACGCCGACCAGCTGGCACCTTTGGAGGAAGCTGTGATGAAGCACTGAAGTGTGTGAAGGAAGAGATAAAGAGGTAATGTATCCCAAATTGAGGGACTAGGTAAGTGACAGGCACGGGATTCCCCAGCTATTGTACACTGTGATATCTACACAATCTTTGGCTGTTGTCTTCAGAGCATCTGTACAGAAGATCTAAGGTCGGCATTTCAGAATCTGGTGGTCAGTAGGATGAACGGCTTTGTTAGGAAAGAGAAACCCTGGAGAGATGACCAGGAGGGTGATGAAATAAGTTGACGCAATGGACATGGAAGCAACATGGATCTTTTCAGAAAGCCGGGAAGGCTTTGTGCTCTGAACCTGCTGCTCTCACTCAGGAAGCGTTTTCCACTGCGGCGTTCTCCATCCACTGCAGGGCGCAGCTCCACACTGCCAAGCTCCACCGCAATAAAACGGTGTAACCAGATACACCGCCTAATCCCAGCTTGGGCAATCACAGGCATAGTTCAGCCCTGGAGGGTCCGCACCTCCTCCCCTCATGCCATGGTTCCTGCCTGTCACAGCATGGGCTGAAGCTGAGAGACTCACTGATCCCAGACCAGTTTTGAGGGTTCTTGCTTCCAGAGTTGTTACATGGGAAAGTGATGCCAGGACGCTTGGAGAAGTGGAGGGCGATCTTCAGTCTGATGTCATGTAACAGCTCCCTAGTGCCCAATATTTGTGTCGCTGGGAGTGGATGGAATTGCAGCTCGTGTGGCCTCAGTCTGCTGAAGATAAAATCACTATAGCTTCGACCTTCAGAAAGCAATTCTGGTACATTCCTAAATGTTTAATCTCATCAGACAGCTGTCCTGCTGGCAGGACGAAATTCTGGGGTGTCTTTAGAGCATCACTGGCTCTTGGTTCTTTGAGACAGGTGTCGATTTGTCCCAGGAAACTTGCAAAACTGGGCTAGCAAACCCTAGTTTGTCAGTCTGGACCAGTGGGGCATTTCTTCCCATCCTAAATGACCACCTAAATTTTCAACAAAAACGGTTAGGTTGCTGGATTATATGGCTGGAGTAAAACTGTACTTGTTAATTTTTTAATCAACTCTACTGGAGATTAAATGCTAGATGGTTATCCTATGGATTGATGAAGATCTTAGAGGTGGTGATCTTCCTAATGCAAGGTGCTGGAAAAGACACAAGTAATACTGTGAGTTCCAGGCCTGGTCATGGATGAAGCAGAGGAAGGCTCAGTTATTGAACGCTTTCTGGCAGGTATGTTTACGGTGTGATGGTTGGTGTTCCTGGTATCCAGTAGTTAAGGGCAGAGACAGAGATTGATTGGGGGAGGAGTTGTGGGAGGACAGTAGGAGGAGTAACTCGGGGTTATTTCTCTAAATAGTGCATCAGTGGGGCCAGTATTGTTTTATGTACTGCATGTATGTCAATCGAATGACAGTCAACACAGTGTCTCATTGGGTGGACATGTATCTGTTTATCTATAAACGTGTCCATCTGTATATGGATCGTTCTACTGAATTGGTTCAAAGTCAGAATAGTAAACACATGTTGAACTTTTGACCAACTTATACTTTAGACTGAAATCTTTTTACTTTGATATTTACTAATGTTTGTTTTACTAAAATAATGTTTGTTTAAGTGGTGACGGTTTTGCTAGTGACAATTTTAACTCATTTTGAACAAAACTCAAAAATTCTAGCCAGTACATGACTAGCAAATACAGTTTTGAGCAGTTGTACACACATAAAATCATCATATTTTTCAAACAAAGCAAAAAAAAACTTAATTGCAGAAAATATGCATTTTGGTAGTACAATTTTTAACATTCCTCACTGATTTTTTCGGACATGTTTGCTTCAAAACAGTGGGATCTAACTGCTCACCATGTGGCCATGAGGGACAGGGATGCAGACTCACTTGCTAAAATAAGGCTTCACCTATGGACTAAAACTCGATAGTGACAAAGCAGCAAGAAACAGTGAGTTTTTTTTACTTAAACTCATGATAAATCTAAATCACTCAACATGACTTAAAAAACTCAAAAAGATCTTTAAAAAATAACATTAAAAATACAAAAATGTACACATAAATTTTTACAAGTGTAAATTTAGGGGTCAGTGTTTGGGTCACACATCTCCCAATAGAAATTACCCTATACATGATGAGTTTGTACATATTTAGCTTATTACTATCTTCACTGATGTCTTGGGTTTAAATACAGTCCCATGCAAAAAAATGGGCAAAGCCCAAAATGGCAAAACATTAGGCTTTGACTCTATTGAGTATATTGACTCTATTGCCTATTGACACACACATACATGTATGTATATTATGTATACATGTCATGCATTTTTTAAACTTTTTTGCATAATTTGAAATCTGCGGTTGTCCTTTGCATCGTTTTAAATTTTCTAGAATCACCTGGATTTTTTTTACATTCCATTATGAATAAGGAATGTTTATGTCTTTCTGCTATACATACATATAGAACAAAACCTCCTATCTTCATTTTTGTCATTTTTCTGTTTTTGACATAATTTGAAAATGCCTGTTGTCCTTTACATTGTGTGTAAATTTCATGAAGAATGGACCAAAAGAAACGGCCTAAAATGACTTGGAAAAATGTGTGGTTCCATTGACTTACATTAAAAGTAAAGTATCTTTTGTCCTTCTCCTGTAAAGTTACCGTTTTGGACTAATATATTTTGCTTTGGCACCTCTGAAATAAGCTCGATCTGAGATTATCTATATATTTAATCTGCATATAACATATATAACTACAGTTCAGTGGAAACATGTTGGGCCTATCGAGTGTCTTTGGTGTCTTTCAGAAACTCTCCACTATATTGACGTTCCAGAGAAGAATATTGAGCCCCCCTCGTTTCCTCTCCGGCTCTCCGTCCTTCCCACCTCCCTCAGAGCGCTTAGCGCGTCATAACCCCTCCCTGAACAGACACGCCCACTCTGGATGCCTCCGCTGAGGCCAATCAGAAACTCTCCGGACAGTTTAAAGGCGCGCTGGAGGCTCTGCGACCTGGAGCTGCGTTTCTCTCTCTCTCTCTCTCTCTCTCTCTCTCTCTCTCTCTCCGTGTATAGAAGGTTAAACAGGCTTCATCAGTGCGCTCGTGATGAGACCACGTGAGGACACCTCCGCTAACCCATCCACGTGGCGTCAGCAGTTCGATGTGGCGCGACGGAGTTAACAGCCCAACCAAAGCGCTCTTCCCCTGGATTACTCCATGGCTTACCACCCCGCGGACTTCACCATAGGGGCAGTGCTGGGCCCCCCTCACCCTCACCCCCACCCTGCGGTTTTCTCCGTCCTGGAGCAGCTCGAAAGCCCCATCCAGCTCTCCTCGCCATCCCTCCAGCCCGCGGGGGCGCCGGACGAGCCCGTGGTGCTGCTGGAAGGCGCGGAGCTCTGGGCGCGCTTCCACAACATTGGCACCGAAATGGTCATCACCAAGTCCGGCAGGTAGGCCAAAGCGAGTAGCTCTGACACTGCCCTCATGCGGGTACTGACATTCATGTAGGCTGGGGTCGAAAAATGTGGCTTATAAGTCGTGCGTAATGAGCCGTGCCACCGTGCGCTTTTACGCACGAGTCGATCACTTCACGTTAGGACCTTGGAGATGAAAGTGAAGTCAGGAAGGCTTAAAAACAGCGCAAACTGAAGGAATTTGTCCTTAAGGTTTGTCCAGAGCGTCACATATATGAAACTAACAGGCTGGTGATAGTTATGGGTCGCAGGCTTTAATGTAAATGAGGGATATGTAATAAAATAATAATAAAATATTAACTTGATACAATTTCAATGAGCTTTACATTTATTTGTCCCACTAATTAAGGCAACACTGACCTGCATGGAAAGCATAACCTGAAAATACATTCACTTTAGCAACATATTAGTGTTTTTTCAGTTTTGTAATATTTAAACATTAAATACTTTTACATTCATTTTACTTCACTTATTCATCTCACTGTGTTGGACAAACAGTCACTATTAAAGATACTATAAGTAACCTAACGGCTCTGTTTGTTTGTCTCTTTCTTACAGGCGGATGTTCCCGGCGCTGAAAGTGCGCTGCGCTGGCTTCGATAAGAAAGCGAGGTACATCCTGCTGATGGACATCGTAGCGGCCGACGACTGCAGGTACAAGTTCCACAACTCATGCTGGATGGTGGCGGGCAAAGCGGACCCCGAGATGCCCAAGCGCATGTACATCCACCCCGACAGCCCGGCCACCGGAGAGCAGTGGATGTCCAAAGTGGTCAGTTTTCACAAGCTGAAGCTGACCAACAATATTTCTGACCAGCACGGATTTGTGAGTAGAAGCTCGAAGCGCGTGCGGCGGTTTGGGTCCCCAGATTGCTGTAAAGCTAGATGTGTTTCGGCTTGTGTGTTTTCTTTACTACACTGTAAAAATGTTAATTCACTTTTTTGAGTTGTTACCAGTTTTGCTCTTCTTCCATATTCATAATCATTTCTAATCTGGGTTTTGGCTTTATTTTGCAGTGAAGTCTCAAAATTAGACAACATTTTAAGGCAGCTAGTTTTTTTTAAGGTAAAACAACAAATTAAAACAAAGTTATTTTGCTTTACATTATTTTCTAAAATAGCTTCCTGTGAACAAAACCTGGTAAACTACTTATTACCACATATGATATGATTTCTAGGATGATATGACAAAAAACATTTGACAGCGTTGGCTGTGTAATAACTCTAACAGCACGTTTCTGAGTTCAGATTCGCTCAGTGAATTAAATGAGTAAATATTCAATCTAAAAGTTACTTAAACAGCAGCGTGTTTGTGTGAGTGTCTTACAGTGATATGACTGTTTCATTTCAAAAATATAATATAATATAATATAATATAATGTGGACAGACATGAGGTCATTTTAGATTAAACTGGCAAATGTTTATTGACACTCCCTTTTAGTCTAGACTTAGGCTTAACCCGCTTAAGAGAAACTCGGCTTAAAACCGGCTTCAATATACCCCCATTCAAAAATGTTGTTACTCAACATTTACATTTTTTTTATATTCAATAATAATAATGTAGACTAAAATATTATTGACAAGATGGAAAAAATAATTTTTCAATGTTATATTTGACATTTTAAGTCTTTTGGGGACAAATCTAAGTTATTAAATGATAAATATTATAATGTAATTTTATTTTCAGTCATTTTTGTCAAGTTATCTGCCTTGAAATTTGCGATACGAGGCATCATGAATATTAATGTTACTTCACATCAGTTATCAGTTGTTATAGACTCATCTGCAGCTCTTCATCATTCTGGACACATTTCTGCAAACTTTACAGCTTCATACTAATCATTATACCAAACGTCCGAACACTCCAGGTACACATGTTGTTAAGTGAAAATAAGTAACCACATTTTTTTGTAGATCAGTTTTTTTTTTTTAATTTATTAGCTAAGTTTAACATACTGGAAAAACATAAAATATAAAATGTGCCATAACTTTTGCTCTGGCCACATATTTTGTTTTTTTTCCCCAATATATTAAATTCAGTAAATAAACAGTAATTGGGTATTGAAATGTGCATAAGTGTGTTCTCTGTAGAGGACGTGGTATTTAACTTATTTACACTTCAACAACAGCATGCAACTTGACCAAAACTTTTGCACAGTGTAAATGTATGTACCATACATATATATCTGGTTCCAAATTGTGTGTATATATGTGTGTATCACTGTTGTCGGAAGAAAACCTTGTATCTCCAAAATGACAACTTTACAGGAGAAGGAAAAAAATGACTTTACTTTTAATGTAAGTCAATGGAGCCAGAATTTTTTTCAAAGTCATTTTGGGTCATTTCTTTTAGTCCATTCTTCATGAAATTTACACACAATGTAAAGGACAACAGGCCTTTTTCAAATTATGACAAAAACAGAAAAATGACAAAAATGAAGATAGGAGGTTTTGTTCTATATGTATGTATAGCAGAAAGACATAAATCATGTCAAAAACTGAAAAACAACAAAAATTGAGATAAGAGGTTTTCTTCCAACAGCAGCGATGTATATATATATTAGTTCAACTGGAAAAGCATCTCTGATGGTTCCTCATGAAGCTGCTTGTTTGAAAAATGAGTTTGTAAAGGGGGCAAATTTCTAAAGGAACCTAGAATAGAAAACTGTTTGATTTGTTTCACACTTTTTGCTCACTTTCTAACTCCATGTGTGTTTTATGTGTGTTTGATATGTTGTGATTCTAACAGGTGGAACATAGTTCAAACAATGCAAACCCCTCTATGAGTGGGCTTTCCACTGGTGCTCTCTTTAGGTGACGTTGTTTTTTGTTTTTGTGTTTTGTTGTTTTCTGTTGTAGACCATTCTGAACTCCATGCACAAATATCAGCCGAGGCTGCACATCGTCCAGGCCAACGACGTCCTTCAGCTCCCTTACAGCACCTTTAAGACCTACGTCTTCCCCGAGACCGAGTTCATGGCAGTGACCGCCTACCAGAACGACAAGGTTTCGACTGATTTTACAATTCAGACTCAAACTCAAACTCAAATTTAGACTTAAATTCAGACTCAAATTCCGACTTAAATTCAGAATCAAATTCAGACTTAGATAAGTTTTTTTCAACAAAGTATCACATAATATATATATATATATATATATATATATATATATATATATATATATGATATAATGATGTAATGTAAACAGATTATTGTTAAATCACAGTATGGACATCATACAAATGAATAAAATATGAGTAGGATTAGCATAATAAAAAATGCAGTACATAATCAATTAGAGTTCACACTGGCATATACATGTAGTCACTTTAATTATGTATATATATATATATATATATATATATATATATATATATATATCTCCATGATGTGTTGAATTGTAAATAAATACACAATTACTGTTTATGTAAGTGGAGAAAAACAAACAAAAGCATTTGTAATCTGTGTTAAATATGACGCTCCTTTGGTTTTACATGTACAGTCATATAAGTTTGTGCGCCCCTGGTCAAATTCCATGTTTTGCTGATCCTCTACAGGAAACACACTCCCACACTTTCTACTGTTTGTTTACCAAACTTATGTTTATTTTCCTTCAATATGTTAAACTCAGCACATAAACAGTAGAAACAGTGGACGTTTGTCCTCTGAGGGGGATGTGTTAACTTATTCACATTAGAAAATCAACAAAACGTTTGACCACAACATTCGCCCAAACGTTTGAACATGACCATGAATATATTATACAGAGACAGGATTATTCTTTTCACTGTATCTTTTCTTTATATCTTTCACTAATTAGCCTGTGTTTATTAAGTATGTGCTCAGTGTGGTTATGAGGTAGAGGGGCTGCAGCCCGACTGATATTACAGTAACAAGTTGTACTTAAGAAAAGATGAATTACTTAGAAAATGACTTGCTCTAAAGAAAAGATGTTGTGTAAATATATTTGTGGATCCGGACGCTTCATTCCTAACAGTGTAATAATAAAGCTCATGCAGACTGTTAGCTGTATTTTACTGTAACACCAGCTAATTAAAATATTCCGTGTCAACTTGAGAATCAACACTATTTACGGATAATAAGAGTTTTAGTTATTTTACTTTAGTTACCACTCCATTCATTTTTCGGACATATTATTTCTTAAAAGCTGCATAATTTGCAAGTCATTTTAAATTAGTACAAGTTGTCACCTTTATTTTACCATTTCATTACCAATTTGTTACTCTGCAACTACTAACTTATTATTTAGTAACAACTGGATAATTACCATGTGATTTTCGAGTTAGTGCAACGTCTAACCATGTTATTAACATGTCATCACACACTTATTACCCATCTGTAAAGCGCTGCCGCTGTTTTCTCCCCCGAAAGCTGTTAAATATTGCTGTAAACAGTCTGATGAGGTTGTGTTTGGGGAAATAAGGTCAGGCTGGTGGTTAATTTGTTGTGTTTGTGTGTTATTTTTATGTAGACTGTATATAAGAGTGTGTGAGTTGAAGACTGTTTCTCTTTACGTTCCAGATAACGCAGCTGAAAATCGACCACAACCCGTTCGCTAAAGGGTTCCGGGACACGGGGAACGGCCGGAGAGAGAAAAGGTCAGAGGGTCTTCATGTTGGTCAGCTGAGTGACAGGTTTACTGTGTAGAGAGAGATCTGAGAGCCTCTGTCTGTCTGTCTGTCTGTCTGTCTGTCTGCTGCTCAGGAAGTCGGCGGTGCAGCTGAAGCTCAGAGCGGAGCAGAAGAACGAGAGCGGATCCTCAGACGACTCCTCCTGTGAGCCCCCAGCTTACTGCCTCCAGGAGCCCACCGTTGCCACGACAACACCTAAAGGTCCCTTTACAGCATTCAGTTAAATAATAAAACATATATAACTATAATCAGGTTATTATTTTCCTATCAGTAATATTAATAGCCTTAATTGATGATTGTAATCAAACTATTTCATAGTTTTCATACAATTAATTATATGAATAAACAATCTTAATAATAGTAGTAATAATAACAACATGTCTTTAATGCCTTAGTAGCACAAATGTTTACTTATTACTAATAATAATAATAATTATAATATTAAAAGCAAAATAATAACATTGTTGTTGTTGTTACTGTTGTTCACAACAACAGTAATAATAATAAATACAATTATTAAGAGCAAATCAGTAACATTATTATTACTGTTATTATTCTTGTTGATATTACTGTTGTTCATAATAATAACAATAATAATAATTTCATTATTTTGTTTTAAATTCCATTTCTGTTTATATTTATTTGTCTTTATTTTTAAAGATTTCATATATTTTCATGTTATTTTGTATATTCTTATATTTTATTTTTGTATCCTATTTTTTTATATAAATCTTATCAAATCATACTCACATTCTTTTGCCCATTGACATTTTTAAATTTTTTCTATTGCATTCTGGGATATAAAAAATAGCAAATGTTTTATTATTATTTCTATTATCATTATTATTATTATTATTATTATTATTTGATTGTTGTAATGATTATTACCATTACTATATGAATAATAATAGCAATAAGTAGCAATAATAATGAAAACTCTTCTATTATTATTATTATTATTATTAACTAATATGATCCTTAATATCAGCAATACTGTACACTGAAAAAATAGTTAATGATTTCAATGTTTTATTAAAGTTTACTTGTGATTATGTGATACATTTTAATCAACAATATCAACCATAAACAACAATGTGACAGATTTGAATCGTGTAAACTCAAAGCTTCATTTCTCTCAATGAGCTACTGATAATATGTTGTAGTATTACTAGTTATTATGAAGAAAAAGAAAACAGCTATGATGATGATTATTATTATTATTATTATTATTAACATTATTATTATTATTATCATCAGTGGCAGTCGTTACTCTGTGGTTATTATTGTGAGTGTCAGTTATAACAGTGACTGTGAGCCGTTGAAACCGACGCTGTTTCTCTGACAGATCTGTGTGAGAGCGACTCAGACAGTGACGGAGGGTCTAACAGGCCGATCGCTCAGGCTGCAGAGATCTCCACCACCAGCCACGAGACCCCCGAACACAGCGCTGAACTCCCCGCTGAACACAGCCCCACCTCTGAACTCTCTGAACACACTGAGCTCCCCCCTGCCGAGCCCACCGACAGCGGTCCGGACAGCGCTCTTCCAGAGCGGACTCAGACGAGCCTCATAAACCTTCCCCCCACCCCGTCGAACCCCAGACTGACTCTCTACTCGGCGCGGGACACGCTCACTCACACACACCACTGCTGCCTCCCGCCGTCCGGCTCTGCGGGACAGCAGCTCGTCCATGGCCTCCTGCCCAGCCACGGTCACTTCCACCTGGTCCGGAGCTTACCGCCGCTGATGACCGCCGGGCCGCTGGCTCCGTGGCTGAGCGGCTGGACTGCTGAAGCGGAAGCTGGAGGTCGAGGAGCTTTTCACCCAGAAATCCTGAGACTTCAACAGCTCAGACCGGCCGCTCAGGTGAGCTTTTCAAGCCTGTTTAAAGGGGAATTCCACCAGCTTTTCAAAATTGTGGAGAAACTTACCCTCTCAGATGTCTTTACAGTGGTGGTGATAGAAACCAGGCATCGCAATGACTGCAACACTGTATAACCATTTTATTTACTATCCAAAACCACCAGTGAACCTGTATGTCTTCTGATATTTTACAGAAAAAATGATGATGAACGTTTTCTTTGAGGACTATTTTGCCTCACAGCGCCCTGCATGTATCCCTTCACCAGGAAACGTTATCAGCCAAAACCTTCTCAAAACTATCGTAAAACAGTGTCTCAGTCATCAGGCATTGAATTCATAACTATTTCATGTAATAACTTTCTGTAAAGGAGCCTTTAGAGGTGGACGTCTGGTTCCTATCACCACCACTGTGACTGCATCATCAGAAGGGGGGTTTCTAGTCTTTAAACTGGAAAATCTTACTCTGTGTCTGTTGCAGAACCGCAGTAAGAGGCGAGTAAACATGTTTACAACAGATGTAGTCATGTTTACTTTTTTCTTTTTGGGTGGAGTTCTCCTTTAAGTAATCTCTAATAGCTTGCTTATGTAATTTCTGACACTGTGTGATACACTGTTACCTATAAACATGGACTAAAGAGGCTTCAAGGCAGCTCCTATGGCCTTTATAAGCTCTGTGATGTACATTTGTCCATGCTAATTGCTAATTGGTGGGGTATAAGCTTCCATTGCTTGTTAGCTGCGTTAGCCTTGTAGCTCCAGTGCTAAAGCTAAAGAGGCAAACTTCAGACACCAAACATGTCTTGCCAGATCGACTGCATTTGAAGTAAAGGAGGAAATGATAGCTCAGTTTTAAAGCGATAGTTCAGCTAAAAATACAAATGTACGTTTCCCCTCTAACCTAAACTGCAGTCTGTCAGACAAGAGATATTTGGTGTCTGAAGTTTGTTTCTGCCTTTAGCACTGGAACTATGAGGCTAATGTAGCTGATTAGCAACACGTTCTGAGTTATCACTTTAATTTTAAAGGGCTCATATGATGGAAAAGTGCATTTTCCTTGCTTTTTGTGATGTCAGAAAAAACAGCACGTTTACAAATATCCACCTATTTAGCTTACAGCGGTTTAGCTCCGCCCACTCATGCTGGAGATACAATGAGCGTTTCAGCTTGATTGCTTATTTAACAAGGCAGCCAATCAGAGCAGAGCTCATTTACATATATCACTCTGAAAGGGACACTCTGGTTAAGGGATACAGAGAGGTTGGTCATGTAAATATGAATCAGGACTTTTTTTGTACATAAAGCCACACTACTGAGTGGCCCTCAGAAAGGGGGTTCGGGCCCTTTAACTGAGCCTCTTGCTTTCCACAGGGCCTCATCATCTCCCACTACTATCCCTACAACTACATGAACGTGATAGCGGCAGCTGTCCCGACCGTACAGCCCCGGCCCCGGCCCCGGGGCTCCCCGTACCCCCTCCCTCCTCTCCGGCTTCCAGGGACACCCGCGGGTCCGGGGGTCAGCAGGGGTCAAAGGACACCCACGTCCCGCTCGACCTGAGCGAAGAAGAGACTCTGCATGAGAACCGAACTGATTAAAACAACTCGGCTTATTAAAACAGACAGCCGGTTTTCACAGAACATGAAGGTGCTGTGTGGATGGCAGACCCACCTGAAAGGGGAATTCCAACAAATTTTCAAAATTTCTGCATTTGTCAGAAAAGTGGTTGAGTCGATCAGAGTGGTTTGGTGTGAAATGGTTGATTGTAGAGGTTCAAATTACTTTACAGTGGTGGTGATAGGAACCAGGGGTCGCCATGACTACAACAGAAATGTAGCCATTTTATTTACTATCAAAAACCACCAGTGAACCTACACGAGTCTCCTGAGGTTTATGGAATGATGATGATGGTAAAATAGTGACAAATCTGAAAAAGATTTGCCTCACAATGTCTTGAATGTATCCCTACAAGCATAAATATGGTTTAAAATATATGTTTTAGGCCAAAACCTTTAGAAAACGACTGTAAAACAATGTCTTAGACATCTCAGGCAGTGAATTCATAACCATTTCATGTAATAACTTTCTGTGAGGGAGCTTTTAAAGGTGGACGCCTGGTTCCTATCATAATGGAATTTTGAAAAATGGGTGGAGTTCCCCTTTAAAACTGTTTTTTTTTTTTGTCTGTCCTCTTTAGTCCACTAACATTCATCAGTGTAGCTCAGATATGAAAATCTGGGTTTGTGTTGTCGCTTAAACTGGAGTTTCAGTGGACTGAATATTTAAATGCAGCCGTAGTAAATAAAGTCAAAGACCTTCATTTATTTAATTTATTTACCCTCCAGTCAAAACTGCTGTTTAGTACGAGTTCATTTTTCAGGAGGTATTTCTGAAGAGATTAGATTTAAGACAGTCCACTTACATCAGGAAGGAGAAAGTGAAAAAAAAACGAGTTTCCAAAACTGGAATTTAAAAATGATTAAAAACTACAGTGAAAATGGGGCTCCTAACAGCCACCTGGAAGACCTGGTAGACACCAAAACTGCCCCCATCAGATAAACAGCGCTTAAAGCTTTCCCAGGTGGTTGCTAAAGTGTTGTTAAGCCGCTGCTATGGTTTCCCAGGTGGTTGCTAAGGCGTTGCTAGGCCGCTGCTATGGTTTCCCAGGTGGTTGCTAAGGTGTTGCTAGGCCACTGCTATGGTTTCCCAGGTCGTTGCTAAAGCGTTGCTAGGCCGCTGCTATGGTTTTCCAGGTGGTTGCTATGGTGTTGCTAGGCCGCTACTGTGGTTTCCCAGGTGGTTGCTCATGTGTTGCTAGAAGAAATTAAACGGGCTTCTGAAGGACTGACCACCCCAGAGTCCAGACCTCAACTTCACTGAATGTTTTTGGATTTCTTCAGAAAATCATCAACCAGCTTCTGAGACTGAACTTCGGAGGTGTGTCTGCAGATTCTTTGAGGAACTGAGAGTGAGTCTCCTGAAAAGGGTGGAAGCTGTAATAAAGGTAAAGAGTGACTCACTGAATACTGAAAACATTATATTTAGTTTTTGAGGCTTCTGTGTAATTTTCTGTTCTTTTCTGCTTTTTTTCCTGAAAAAAAAGAAAGAAAAACTCTTGTACTTAATGACTGTTTTGGCTGGTGATGAAATAAATGAGGGGGAGGGGGGGGGTCTCTGACTTTCACACAGTGCTGTACAGAAAATGTGAGTTACGTTTATGTTGAATCTATTTATTATTTACCCCATTTGGTTGTGCATGTTAAACTGAGTGAACAGGAGAGATTTTCACACTGAATCTACTATTAAACAACTCCAGACTCTGAACGGCACCGTTACTGACTCTGAACTGCTGCTGCTGTTCGTGTGGGACTGTTTTACACAGAATCTCTGTGTTTGGACTGACAGTGTTGTTTGTATGTTGGTGAAATGTTGCTTTCATACCTTTTTCCCATAATTTTACAGTGTTATTTTGAATTGTGGTCAGTTTTGCTATGATTTTAATTTATTTTAATTAAAAGTAGGCTGAAAATAAATGATGGCATCAGTAGTTTGCATGAAATTATTATTATTATTATTATTATTATTAAAGTGGCCTTTAATAATAGTTTGTCATTTAGGGCATAATTAAATCACTATATTTTTAAAAAAGCATACTTTTATATTTAACTTTTTATTTAAAATAAATTTAACTGCAGTTTCTTTATTATTTTACACTGTTGTGTACATTTTATATTTCTTAATTTCGGAGTTACTTTGTACTATTCTTTTTAATATTATTACTATTCTTGATTATTATTTAATGGTTGATAACTCTCTCATGCAGTGCCCATTGTTGCCAGCAGAGGCCGCTCTTGTAAAGGTAGTTAATGCACTGCACTTAACTGGACATCAGACTGTGTGCTAATCTCAGCAGTGTTGTAGTTCATATAGTTAATATAGTTAACAGAAATATGTTTTAGGCCAAGACCATTTATAAAACTACCGTTAAACAGTGTCTCAGTCATCAGGCAGTGAATTCATAACCATTTCATGTAATAACTTTCTGTGAGGGAGCTTTTAGTGGTGGACCACCTTAAATTTGTAAACAGAGTCATTCAGAGTCATTTTAAAGAAACTCAGTTAGAATTCACAAGGTAAAGGTTTAATTAATCAGAAAAGTTGAAAAATTGGTTGTGTTCCCCTTTAAACTGATGGGAGATAGGCTCCCCCTGCTGGAGAAACTAACACATCGCACTGATCAAATCCCACCTGTATTCCGACAGGTAACGCTGTGATTGGCTCAACAAGCTGATTGACCTGTGAGTCACCTACGATGCCAGTATTTTATATAACAAGAAACTCAATAAATAAATAAATAAATAAATAAATTCTAAATTATATTCCACGAGAGGAAGTAACATTTAAAATTAAGTCACCATAAACGCTGATATATGTTACTCTTCTGTTAAATAACTGACTGTGAACAGATTGTTTTATTTCCCACCTGCTTAAATGATTAAGAAGCCGTAAACAAAGTTATTCAGGGGGGGTTTGATGTGATGTGAAATCATCAGTTCAGGAGGTGAACAGACATCAGAGCTGGTACGTTTCTCCACAATGAACAATTTCACGGCAAACCCACTTGAATGGCTTTTTACATTTCAACCAGTGAATTGTGCACACATTTTAAAATTCTGTGGAGTTCCCCTTTAAGCCCGAATACGGGTGGGAAGTGGAAACAACGCTGAACCTCCCTCTGTCGTCATCAGAGAGGCGTCGCGGCTGAGGAGCGGACAGAGCGAGAAGAGCTAATCTGTAAAATCGCTAATAAACCCGTTTCAGGCGCGTTAATTCGGGCGGAATGCGGGCCGGGCCGGTAGCGGGGGTCTCAGAGAAGGCCCGGTGTTAGCGCTGCCCCGCCTGCCGCGGACTCTACCCGGGTTTCAGCTCGTTTTCCGGCTGTGTGTTGGCGATGCGGCCCGTCTGTGTGAGCCACGTCCTGCTGGGCGCGCAGTGTTTACTGCTGCTCAGCGCGCTGCTGCTGCAGAGTCTGGAGGGCTCTCAGTCCCCGAACTCCACTCAGACCCCCCACAGCAGAGCCACCACCGCCTCGACCACCTCCACGACCTCCTCAGCACCTGCCGGCACCTCCACGGCCTCCTCATCCTCCTCCTCATCCTCCTCCTCATCCTCATCCTCATCCTCATCCTCATCCACCACCTCCACCGCGGCTCTGCTCAGCGACCCAGCCGAGGGAAACGCGACGGGCGGAGTGAAGCCCTCCGCCGCCGTGGAGCCGACCAACCGCACGGAGCAGTTCGAGTACAGCCCACCCTCGCCGGTGGTCCTCTGCAAATACCTGTAAGAGACTGTTCTGTACTGTTTCTGTTCTGTACGAGGCTGAATTGTCTGTTTGCCAGCTTCTTATTCCAATTTCCCGGTCCACCTTAAATAATACAACAATTAAAGTGTGGCGCCTGTACATGTTTATATGCAACTGCTGAACTATTTAAGGTGGAACGGAAAATTCGAATAAGAAGCTAACTTTAGCCGTTTCTAAACGTGGGGGCCCTAATTTCCCGTTCCACCTTAAAGGGTGCAGAAGTTACAGTTCGGCTGGGCATTTTCTAAACAAGATGGGAGCCTTAATTTCCTGTGCCACCTTAAGTAATACAGCAGTTGCAGTCTGGCGTCTGTACATGTGTATAGGCAACTGCTGGACTATTTAAGGTGGAGCGGAAAATTCGAATAAGAAGCTAACTTTAGCAAGCAGGGCATATTCTAAACGTGGGGACCCTAAATTTCTCGTTCCACCTTAAATAGTGCAGCAGTTACAGTTTGGCGCTTGTACGGGCATGCATATGCAAGTGCTGCGTCATTTAAGGTGGAACATGAAATTGGAGTAAGAAGCTAACATAACCAGGCAGGGCAGTTTCTAAACATTTGAGGGCTCTAATATCATTTTGCGATTCCCCAAATCATATTAACTGATAAGAAATAGTCCATAATTAGCTTTGGTCAAAATATAATATCATACATATTTTAATAGGTCAAAGATTTGAAATTATTATTATTTGGGTGGTGGATCATTCTCAGCACTGCACCGACTCTGGCGTGGTGGTAATGTGTGTTGTGCTGGTACGAGTGGATGATACAGTGTCTTAACAGAGTGGACAGTTAAGTGGACACAGTGTTTAAAAACTCCCGCAGAACTGCTGTGTCTGATCCAAAACCCAAATAGTACCTGCTCTGTGGGGGTCCTGTGGGGGGTCAGTGATCATTGGCAGAAATATGAAAAATGTCAAAACCACAATATTGGCAAACATATTTATGCCAAAATCATAAACCCACTAAATGATCTATGAGTCTGGAAGGAAAGCTGCCAAACCTGTCAGCTCTACTCAGCCAAGTATTAATATTCATATTTTCACGTATATATACATACCGATCAAATCAATAACTAAGGAGCAAAGCTGAATATTTATTTTTGGCATGTATCGTCAGTTTTAATTAAGTATATGATATTTGATGATAAGTAGCTAGATATCTGTGAGATGTAGATCATTTTGAAAATGTACTTTTCAAAAGTAAATCTAATACAAAAGTGCATTCTTTAATGTTTACACTTTAAACATTTAAACATACGTTTTGGAACAATGTAAGTGTATTTAAATGGTCATGAAGCTGAGACTATTTATATAGTAAATGCCTTTATTGGTGCTTTGGAGAGCTCGGCTAGTGAGCAGATGTAAGTATGTACTTTGTAGACAATTGTTATTACAGTTGGAGTATATAGTGAGTATAAATATACTATTGAATGTAAAGATACACTTCAGAGCTCCTTACTGAGCTGTAGTGCAACAGAAATGCATTTCAACACATTCTAAATTATTCTAAACATAAATATGTTCAGCAAATGAAACGTATTTAAGAGTACTTTTATACAGAGTATACGTTTAAATATGCCTACAGATGCTTTTCTGTACTAAATTGGAACAACTTATGTTGCAGTGAAGTTGACTTAAGCCGTTGTTAAGACACAGGAAACATATCACTGCTGTGGGAAGAAAACCTCGTATCCCCAAAATGGCAACTTTACAGGAGAAGTAAAAAACCTACGTAACTGTTAATGTAAGTCAGTGTAACCAGACATTTTGCGCCGTCATTTTGATCCATTTCTTTCGGTTCATTCTTAGTTAAAAGGGCAGCAGACATTTTCAAATTATGTCAAAAACTGAAAATAGCCAAAATGCAGATAGGAATTTTTCTTCCAGCAGCAGTGATATTTTAAAGCTATACTATTGGATGTACAGGTACTTGTAGTTGATTTGTTAGAGCTGTATCACAACTAAAATGTACTAAAGCATACTTAGTTATTGTTGTAAAACATACTTAAACTAATGCACTTAAAATACTAAATAATACACTCAAGATGATGCCAGCTGTTATTGGCGATAACACACTACTCCAGTGTTCTATTGCTTTTATACAACAGTTGAATAAATAAAGTAATAAATTAATAAACTGGGCTGTGAACGCAGCGTTTAATATGTTTTAATGTTCGCAATTCCTTCCGCCAAATTATAGCTCCTTAACGAGCAGCTCGTTGCTACGTCAGAGTAACGAGCTCCGCCCACTCGCTGCACAGCCAGCAGTTCGTTCTTCAGCTCCTTACACTAAATTCCCAAACTGTCGTCACCACTGAGCAGCTTTTCAGTCGGCAGCTGTGACAGAAGAACAGCTAAACAACCTGGAATCAGCCAGAAATGAACCGAATACCATTCGCCAAACGTGTAGTCTGATCTTCAGAGTCTGACCAAATCGGACTGAGCCATAAAACTGCCTCAATATCAAGTTTAGCTCAGTTTTGTCATTTTTTTGCTGGATCAATATTAATGTTGTTTTGTTCCAGCCAGTCTGTAAAGCATCTTACAGTCCATTTAGTTTGGCGAATGGTGTTGGGTTCATTTCTGGCTGATTCCAGGTTGTTTAGGTTCTCTGTCTCAGCTGCCGACTGAAAAGCTGCTCAGTGGTGATGACAGTTTGGGAATTAAGTGTAGCCTCATCTTCAGCGTCTGACCAAATCGGCTGTCGGTCAAATGTGATCTTAAAAGTCTCCATTTTCTGTTTGTGGTAAAGTAAGAAGTAAAAACGTTTAAATGGTCTGAGCGTCTCCTACAGCTGTCAAAGTTGCTGCTTAGCAACGGCATCTCAGCGGAGTGATGCAGTGTTTGTGAAAAAACCTGTGATGTTATGGCGAAATAACAGCACGGTTAGACCGCCTCTCAACCAATCGGCTTGCATGGCCGGAACTAACTGTTGTATAATAAGTGTGTTTTTTTCTGAGGTAACGTTTGAAATCATGTTGCACAACTTACGACACCACAGCTGGGAGGAGGAGGAGTGCTGGTGTGAGGTGTTGTTTGGTGTTAATTGTTTGCAAAATTTGCATTAGATTGCAAAAACAGTCGTTCGTTCTCCATAATGCACGTAGTCATGCTTTTCTCATTGTGATATCACAGTGTCAGAGTGCAGAGCTGCACTCCTGTAAGTAAGACACCCCAGAATTCATTGCTTACTCAGGACTGAGAGAGTGAGTAAGGTTTAGTGTCTTATTTCATGCTCCGTTATTCTTTCCTTTTCCAGACCTGAGGAGTTCATATACTGCGAAGAGCCCGAGGACCATAAAGGAAACAGCACAGCCCTGCAGGAGGTGGGGCATGGATGCCTGAAGGCAAGTAGATGTTTTTTTTTGATGTAGGAGAGAGATTAGAGCCGGAAGAACACCTGATTTACTGCTGTTGCTGGGCGTCTCTCATTTTCTGATTCAAGCTGGTGTTAGATCGGTCAGTGCGGAAGTACAGACGGCAGTTTACGCTGAAAATTAACCACTGACATTTGTTCCTTTTTACAGATTGGGAATCAGGGTCAAGTGTACAAAGACGTGACCCACACCAAAGTGATGTGCACAGCTTTAGATGGCATTGAATGCGCCGGGCCTCGAGAGTTCCTCAGAGGGAACGAGCCATGCATCAAGTAAGTTCAACAGGTTCCACGTCTCTTGTGTTTTTGGATTAAAGGCTTTGTATTTTTGTTCCATTTGGTGAGACCTGTGTAATCCTTTGAAAGCCAATAATTAATTTACATGATTTAAGGAGGCTTTATGTAAAGCTCAGTTGCTGTTCTCACTGCATTCTATATTATTTTGTACCACTGGAGGGCAGTGTAGCACTAAAATTGATGATTTTTTTTTTTTACCACTGGGAGAGTGTTGGGGATAAGACTGAAACAGAATATCTCCTACAGATCATCGAAATGATGTAGATGTTTGTATACTGCACTGCCGACTCTCAGAGGATAGTATCTATCACCTGTCGAGGCGGCTTAAAAGAATAGTCCGGTGAAAAATCTAATTTACCCAGTTTTCCGCTTATCCCATTCGTAGTCGAACAGCCAAGGCAGGTTTGGAGTTCAAATTTTGCTTCTTCAGTTTAGAACTGGTGCTACGAGGCTAACGTTGCTAACTAACACTATAATTCAATAGGCACCCAAATAGCTCAAATTGTTTCTGTCAAAATACGTCACCAAAATGTCTCTCAAAGCACATCCAGCTTCAGTACCTACAGATATGCCCTTTTGTTAAACAGCCAGGCCTTGTTAATGATTTAACTTAAATAATATTTCATGCTACAGACAGAAGACTGGCATTGTGATTATATTGCTATTGCAATATGGACTATACTGACTATGGTGGTCCAAAAGTCTGAAACCACATTAAGAATCTGGGATTTTTTTTTAATTCAAACCTTCAAACAAGAAATATTTTGTTTTGTTTTTAAATTAGTTATTTAAAATTTTGATACATTTATAATAACCAGAAGTTTGTGACAATTAAAATTATATTAGTATGTAAGATTTCAGTATTCACCTTTACAGTAAGGTAGTTGTACAAAACAGTCAGACTATTTTTATTTTGTCAGTCCAGCTGACTCTCAGGTTGATTTGAATTTCTGAAATTCATGTAATGTTTTGAAGATTTTACTCTTCACTCAGATTGTTACGCTGATAATATGTAGTGAAACTTTGCACTGAATTAGTAAGAAATGCAAAGTAGGAGCATGTTCGAGACCACTAGTGAACGTTTACACCCCACTATATGTCCAAATGTATCCACACAGCAACGTTCCAACATGTAGGGTAAAGCCTTCCCAGAAGAGGCACTCGTTATTTTGACACAATAATTTGCATTTTCTGCTTCATCAGAACACTTACAGAAGCTCATCTAGAACTGCGATTGGTCCGAATGCTCATAACATCGAACAAAAATGAACACTGTGATTGGTTAGAGGGCTCACTTGCACCATCACTGTTGCAGAATCCAATATAGTGATACGGTTAATAATCATAATCTTGGCCTTTGCAATACTGACAATATTAACAATACAGTCAAGTTTGAACACCCCATATTTTGTTGATTTTCTAAGAGAAAATAAGTTAACGTTCTGTACAGAGAACACACTTCTGCACAATTATAATGTTGTTCACTTACTTTGTCGGTCCTACAAGGGAAATTTGTTATTTTGCTGCCTCACTATGCCCAATCTGGGAGCAGCACAGCGTCGACAGCCGAACAGCGCCGCCTTGGGCAGTGGGGCAGTCAAGTGCCTATACCTAATCAGTCATGGAATTTGGACCCGCAAACCCACCGGTTGATGGCTCACCTCTTCTACCACTAGACTACCGGCCACCCCATAATGCACAATCAACTGTCTGTTTGATGAATTTGATGCATTGGGATGAACAAAAAGGAAAACAAACAACCAAAACAGAAAATATTTGCTGAATTTAACGTTTTGGAAAAGAAAAAAACAGAAAATAAAAGTAAAAAAAAAAATGTATTGCACAAAATAAAACAAAATAAAAATGAACAAAATAGAACGGAACATATTTGCTTAATTTAATGTATTGTAAAAAATAAAAAAAAATTTAAAAAAAAGAAAATATTTGGTAAACTTAATGTTTTGGAAAAAATAAAACAGCAAATAAAAAATGTGCCATTATTAACTTTTGCACAGGCCACGTTTTATGTTTTATTGAATTGTGCATTAACACGTACATTTTGTTTTCTGTAGAGGATGTTTCACTTGTTTTCACTCAGAAAATCAATAACACAAAGTTGTTTGACCAGGGGTGCCCAAACATTTGCACACTACAGTATATTGTCAGTTAGTGCCGTTTTCTACCTGAAATCATTTGTTCTGTGTTTCGTGTCACTTTCCCTGCTGACCGTCTCCTCGTTTGTGGTGTCACTGCAGGTACACGGGTCACTACTTCATAACGACGCTGCTCTACTCCTTCTTCCTGGGCTGTTTCGGGGTGGACCGCTTCTGTCTGGGGCACACGGGCACGGCCGTGGGGAAGCTCCTCACTCTGGGCGGTCTGGGCATCTGGTGGTTCGTCGACCTGATCCTCCTCATAACTGGAGGACTGATGCCCAGCGACGGCAGCAACTGGTGCACCTTCTACTGACCGGCCACCTGCGTCCACTTCAGCTTTGAGAACTAGACGCACTGAGCCCTCTTTCGTTTGCACGTGTTCCCATGTTTCCGCAGGAACAGTCAGAAGAACCTGCTTAGTGTTTAAAGGGCCCAGCTGGTTTCTCCATTCTGTATTTAAATGAGACTTTGAAGCCTGTTCTGGTTCGTGTTTTTGTGATGTCACAAAAAAAGGCCTTTACTTACTGTATATCTGCCCGTTCGGCCTGCAGCGGTTTAGCTCTGCCTGCTCACTCTGAAGTTATAAGGAGTGTTTGAGCCCTGCTTTGTGAATGAGGGCAGCCAAACAGAACAGAGCTCATTTGCATATATCAGTCTTAAAGGCACAGTAGCGAAAACAGCCTAGATAAAGAAGGAACTTGTAAACATCGATTAAGACTGTTTTTGACAAAAGTGGACAAAATCAAATAAGGGGAAAATACAGAAAATGGGCTCTTTAACTGGTCTAACTTTTAATGTGCTGGGATTGGTTAGGGTTACTTTAATGTTGCTTCAGTTGGGCTTTTTCTGTGACTGGACAGTGTGGGAACAGGACTTCTTGTATATCCTTGTGCTGAGTTTGACCATTTTGTATGTCCATCCTTTAAATTAAATGTGTAAGATAGGTGTTTTTTTTTAAGTATGAAGATGGTTCTCTTGTTGTAAATAAATTATCATTCACTGTCCACAGGTCTAAAAGACCATACAAAATACACAAATAATAAACCTTTTAAAAGCAGTAATATATCTGAATTGCTTTGCTGAAATTCTACCCAATTTTTCGCATAATTTTTATACAAGTCAAACTTTAAGATGTATAGTCATCCATAGTGGTTTGGTGTGAAATGGTTGATTGTAGAGACTCTGATTTCTTTACAGTGGTGGTGATGGGAACCAGGGGTCACCATGACTACAACACAAATGTAGATATTTTATTTACTCTCCAGATATGTAACGATGATGGTAAAATAGTGGAAAATCTGACAAAAGTTTTCTGTGGAGGCCTCACACTGCCCAAGAGGACTCAATGTTCAACTTTGAAAAGTTGGTGGACTTCCCCTTCAGATCCTTGCAGCTCTACTGCTTTATCCATTTCAATGGTTAAGCTTTGAACCAACATGTTTCTTTTCTATTTGAAGGCCAATATGTCTATTCAATCCATTCCACTTGCTACTTGATACAGTGCCAAGATTTGCATAGGCGGCTGAAATGCTGACGGTGTGGAAAGGTGCTGCCAGAGAAAACTGGTGTTTTAGATCAAGTAGCAACAAAGTGTTGTGGGTGTACAGGGACGCGGCTTCTGTAGGCAAATGAACATGATGTCATCATCACAGCTTAATCTTGGCACTGTATCAAACGTCCTGCCAGGAGGGGAGCGAGTGTGTTAAATTCTGTGCGGGGGACAAAAGACAGCAAGTGGAATGGATTGAATAGACATATTGGCCTTCAAATAGAAAAGAAACATGATGTTGTTTTATCATATATTAAGATCCAAATTTTTACATTTCGTCCTCTTATTGAAGTGTAATATAGGGATCATTTAAAGAGGAATTCTACCAGTTTTTTACATTTCTGCATAATCCGGTCGTTGAGATGTAATCAGAGTCATTCAGTGCAGTTTGGCATGAAATGCTCTGTTCTAGAGAAACTTACTGTGATAGATTTTCTCTATAGTGGTGGTGATGGGAACCAGGTGTCATGTTGACTACAACATAAATATATAATGTTGATGGTAAAATAGTGTTAAGAGAAGTAAAAAAAACAAACAAAAAAAAACTTTTCTTTGGGGACTTGCCTGACAGTGTCCTCCGTGTAGCCCTCCGCCATGAATATAAAAATTTGTTTTAGGCCAAAACTTTTATTAAACTATCCTAAAACATTGTCTGAGACCAGGCAGTGTATTCATAACCGTTTCATGTAATAACCTTCTGTGAAGGACCTTTTGGAGGTGGACGTCTGGTTCCTATCAGAACTACTGTGAACAATTCTCACTCAGTTTCTCCAAAATGCGGCATTTCACTTTAAACCACTTTGAATTACTTTGTTCACATCTTAATCATTTAGTTATGCAGAAATTTAGTAAAATTGGTGGAAGTCCCCTTTAATGTTGTAATGAAGGGAACTACGTTAAAGGGGCACTCTGGCCAAAATGAAAAATGGTGCCACTGGTAGATCTGCTGTAAACATGTCCACTCGCCTTCTGCCGAGGTGCCACAGAAGTAGAGTGAGATTTTACAGTTTAATAACTGGGAAAGCCCCCCTCCTGATGATGTATCTTGGAGGTGGGAGGAATGAAAAACTACAAGCACTTTGTGGTGGACCTTTGGGGGCAGACTAAACCACATTTAGCTGAAGTTACTGCTAGGAAGTCGAAGATCCCACCTCTATGTGCTACCCTCTATATTAGTGGCTATGCTAGCAATCTTCAACAGTGTATCCCAGTGTTTGTGTGACTTAATGGTGCAGTGCATGCTGGGTATTATAGTGAAAGAATGTTGATGGCTGAAATTCTGTGAATTCTGTCAAATCAGTGAAGCTGAGGGATGCAATGCTGCGCTACAGGGTATTAAATATTAAATGCTAGTTTTTGGCCGGAATGACTTTTTAAAAGTTTGACACAACTTCCCTGCTTTGCAACATCTTGCCCTGTTAATAATCCGATAAAAGAATTCCTCCCGTCCAGTAACTCCTTTGATATGAGCTGATGGGAAAAGCGCTTTTACTGAAAAACAGCACTGAAAGCAGCAGCTGGTCAGGCCGTCTCATTCCAGCCTGGCGTGAAGAATCAGATTTATTACGGTGTGATAAAAACAGGACCACAAAACAAACACTGCATTTGGAATCAACACAGCAATGCACACTCCAAAGAAGTTGCCAGTTGCTGAAGATATTGAAATGCCCTTGCATGTAATCAGAAAAGCTTAGTTAATAATATAAAGCTCCGTATGTTTAAGTGATTGCGAAACCTGATGTTTCGGAGCTCCTATCCATAAAAATAACCTCAAACATTCACCCTTTTTATTCAAAACAATGTGCATATCGCTGCTGTCGGAAGAAAACCTTGTATCTCCATGTTTCTCGCTTTTGACATAATTTGAAAATGCCTGCTGTCCTTTACATTACATAGTGAATTTAATGAGGAATGGACCAGAAGAAACGGCTCAAAATGACTTGTAAAAATCTGGTTCCATTGACTTGCATTAAAAGTAAAGTAGGTTTTTTTCCTTTTCCTGTAAAGTTACCATTTTGGAGTTTTCTTCCAACAACAGTGATATGCATACAACAATGATACAGGTAAGTAATTGCATAATGTAAAATTATATACACTTTTGACAACACACTTCTGTAGCAGTACAACACTCACCCAATAAAAAACCCAACACACACACCACAGGCCAAAAGTAGGAAAGCAAGCAGTATTTTTTTGTAGCAGTATTTTTCAATTTTTAAAAATATTCATGCTAGCCTCTTACAGCGGTGCCGCAGTGGTCTTGGGTGAGATTTCCTGGTTTAAAGACCCTTCTGATGACCTATCCTGAAGGTGGACACGCTTGGCCACACTGTTGAAAACTGAATCATTCTTTCAACAAGTTTGACGACTGATAGAGAATAGAGCTAAATGACTAATACTAGCTGACACCACATCTGTATTCATTACTCTATAGATCAGTGGCTAGCAGTCAGGATTTGCTAAGCGTTGTGTGATGTATTTGTGTAATGCATGCTGGGTATTGTAGTGACAAAACATTGATGGCTGAAAACGAAATCATGAATTCTAATGAACCAATGAGGCTGAAAGATGGTGCTTTGGTACAAAATATTACATATTAAATGACTTCTTAAATGCTAGTTTTAGGCCAGGATGCCCCTTTCACGTCCGTCTGCCAACAACTGAAACTGGAATTTGTTCCAGAATATTTTGTTGGCGTATGCATTCCATGTTGGTCTATGCTGGTTTATGCTAGTCTAGCATTGGTTTAGTTGGTTACCCAGCATGGTCATGCTGGATGACCAGCATACCAGCATCCAAAACACAACATGTGCTTTGCTACGTTGGTTTTTCTAGCAGGTAATATGGAGTCGCACCCGAGTCACATAATGACTCACAACTGAAATTTGAATATGGCTTTAATTAGTGAGAAAAGCAAGAAATGCTACAATGTGGTGTTTAAAGGAAAGAGGCAAAACAGTGTGAAACAGTGGGCTAGCATGTAGTTTGGCTAGCAAACATGCCAGCTAGCGCAATAGCTCATTTAGCTGAGGTTGTCAGCTAGTCTGTCTGAAGTTTTTAGTAAGTTACAGATCATATTCCTTTAAAACTTACTAAAACTAAACCTGCTGCTGAATTTTGCTGTTATGCTAGCTAGTGTAACTATGCAAACTACAGACTAGCCAAATATTTCAAGAAGCTTTGCCTCTTTTCGTACATTTATTGTGTGGAGAACTTCAGTTCTTTCCTTCCGTCTGAAGGTTTTTCTGTCATGCGTGGCTCATCATCTGAAACCTGACAGGTTTTTAGGTGGGTTTACTTTTGTTCAGTGCAGTGCCTGAAGCTAATAAAGAGACCAAACTAAAATGCAAAACGCTAAACTACATCAGTATTTAATTCTTTCCACATTCCTAATGTAACACCTGATTGAGTGGATGAACCTTCAGGAGCTTCTTAATGGGGAAATCTGGTGGATCTGATTACAGATGTGGGAATCAACAGGAGCTAAACTTATATTAGTGTCGCTTCCAAACTTTTGGCCTGTAAACAATGCCCTTGCTAGTACTCTGCTGTTTAGCACACAGTACCTGCTGTTTGCTTGGTTCACACAAAAGAAATTAAGCTGTTGTACATTATTCCCAACAAAACACACACGCCTACGTCACCGTCACTCTAGCTCCCCGGGGACGATCGTGAGCGTGACGTCTTCATTAGCCCGCCGCACCGTCATGGACAGCGGTTCCCCAGACTTCACTGCATTGCTGACATCATCTGTGGTGTGAACCAGCTGGCCATTGATGCTAACGATCACGTCATGGTTCATCAGGCCAGCGCTGCGAAACACAATACAAACAGCACTTGGACACCTGCATATTAGTTCATTTTTTAAAAATCCATTCATGGTACAGTGGTACATGCATGCTGTAAGGCAAAATAGTCCCCAAAGAAAAGATATTTTTGTGGACTTGCCACAATTTTGTTATTACATATTATATATAAAAACTTATATAGTTTCACTTGTACATAAAATGGCTATATTGGTGTTGTAGTTATAGTGACTCCTGGTTCCTATCACCACCACTGTAAAGAGTCCCTACAATCAACCATGAAGAACTATACAGCTAACATCACAACATGCAGCAGTTTTGTCACAGGATTGGATCTTATTCATTCCTTTTTTCCCACTCCAATATTCCATCCAGAATTTTCTGCTGATATCAGCCCCGTTCCCATACCTGGTGTCAGATTGGTCTCATGTGGAGTTGGCCCTAAGAGAACTGCTATTTTCTGGCTAGGAGAGATGAGTCTGAGGTAGATTTCCATCTCTGGCCTTCAGGGTCGCTCTGATTGAGTCTCCCTGGAGGTATCACCTTGGCTACCTGTTTACTGTTGCCAAGACATTTGGCAACCCAACAAGCACAGCAACAGAGATGGTGCCCACCATGGAAGGTTTTGATGGGGTTCGGATTCAGCCTCTCTGGCAGTTTGGATCGTTTGCCAGCTACTTGATGACTGCACCATTTTCAATCACGTCACAGTCCTCCAAGTCTTGATGGGCCATATGTATCCTCCCTCCAGTTCTTGCTTACCTTCTCGCACATTGCCAAACTGGCCTGCGGTAAGTGACACATTATTATGGTGGAAAGTGGGGCCACAGAGGAATCTTTCCTGAGCGGAGAACCGCGCTGTAGAAAAGCCCCGTGGCACATAGTAGGACATAAATCGTGTAATGAGGTTGGGTGAAGGTATGAGTGTGGCCTCTGGCTGTGGGAGAGTGGGAGCTGGAGAGCAGAGGGGAGGTCTGGACCTGTTTTCTTACCTTGAGGCTGCAGTTCCAGGGATCACCTCGTAGACGTACACTCCTGAACTCACATCTTGGAAATCACTCTCCCTCTCCTGCAGCTCCCTGATCAACCTGTGGTGAAATAAGATATAAAAAAAACTAAAGAAAAATGCTAACTTGGTTTGGAACCAGCGAAAGCTGGGGGATCAGTTAGCATCTCATTTGAACAATGCTAACGGGCATCATGTAAAAGAGATCATGCTTAGTAGCTTTCATGCTAAGTACTTTTCTTTCATCACTAGGCATGTTATTTTTCTTGTTTGTAGTATTTCTGAAACGGGACTAAAACTAGCACTTAGCATGTTAGTTTTTGTTTTATACAGCTTTGTATCCTCCAGTCTTGTTGATTTGAGAGAATTCACAATTTTTCCATCAGTTTTCATTTCTCACATTCTAATATCCAGCATTCATTACACAAATACATCATACAACCATTGGGAGTCCCTGAAGCGTCAACCAATCCTGACTGCTAGCCTAACCACTGATCTACAGGCTAATAAATGCAATCTAGCTAACATTACCTCAGTTATGGAACAAAATCATGAAGAAAAAAGTGATTCTGTCCTCATTCAGTGCGAAATGGACACCAGATACAAGTTTTTAACCCTTTTTTACCAGATAAAAGAAGCCAAACTGAGGTAAAGTGCCTAGATAGTCTGGCTACCTCGCTAATTTTAGCACTTTAGCCTTTAGCTTGTTGTCCTCCTCATCTGGTGTGTCATTTCTGTCCTTTAAATAATCTGTTTTCTTCACTGTAATGATGTTTTGAAGATACAGCAATAAGATATTCAGCCTCCTAGTAGTAACTTTAGCAATCTGGCTAACACCCTTCAACACAGATACATCATTGGATCAGGGTTTTTCCTCATCTTTAACTTGGAAAGTCTCACTCTAAAGACTAATAGAAGGTGAGCAGACATGTTTACAACAGATGTAGTGATGGTTACATTTTTAATTTTGATTTTTAAAGTAAGTAAAGTTAAGATTAGGGTTGCAAAAGCCACATTTTATTTCTGCTTATCATCCTTGGCTATCTGTAGCTAAAATAGCTGTGGGTTGACACGAAAAAATGGCCAGTCAGGATTGCTAGTGCTAAGATACGTGGTAGGTTTTGATGTGAAAATTATTGTTATAATGCATTGACAACTACATATTTTATGCTACTACTACAAATTCTGTGAGCATCATATAAATGCAATAAATGCAAACAGCTTGCTAATATTTCAGATTAAATATCATACATATTCCAAACCTGGGGTGAACTTACGATGGGGTCAGCTGAAACATCCTCACTCCTATATATTTCTTTTTGGGCTGCGTCCTTCCTGCAGTCAGACCACAAAACAAAGGCTAATTTGGTCAATCAGGCCGGAACGAGGGTATATATACGGCCTTTGAATAATGCAAGCAAAAGCCTGAACAAACCTTTCCTTTGTCTCTCATAGGAGTCTGCGAGGAATTGCCGTATCCGGTCTGAGGGAATTGCAAATGATATTCCCGCTGTGACCTTCAAAGTGTTTATGCCGATGACATCTCCATCCTTGAAACAGAAAAAAGAGCGCAGTAGCCTAATAGCCTTTAAAATGAATGAACAATGAACAGTGTAGCCTTGAAAAGCCCACAGGATGCCCCGGTCAGAATCTTTGAGTGTTTCTCTTTTGAGAACTTGCACAGTTTAAGCTTGATTTTGGAAAGTATTCTCTAGTTTAACCAGTGATGTTACATTAGGCGCAATGGTTTTATACTGATAGAAGCAACCGCAGTATGAAAAATGTGCTTTATTATGTTTGTGTAGTAACAGAGTTACTCAAGACTTAACCTGGACTTTGCAGGCTGTCATCAACTGAATTTAATGTAAGACATTATTATTGTCATTTAAAGTGCAATTTCACCAATTGTCCAAAATGTTAAGATGCAAACAAGAAGTAAACTTATTCATTCAGAATTGTTTGAAGCTCTGAAACGTAACAAGTCACAGTGGTGGTGACAGGAACAAGACATATGAAGAGTTTAACGGCTCTAAAAGCTCCCTCACAGAAAGTAACTACATGAAGTCGTTATGAACACACTGCCTGATGCCTCAGACTTTGTTTTACAATAGTTTTGAGAGAACATTTTAGACTAAAATGTCTTTTTTAGACTGGCTTGTAACTCACTCACTCATGTTTAGCAGGCAGAAAACTCTCCACAAGGGGGCAAAGTTATCACTTAACCTCTTAAAATCCCAGGTTTATTACATACTAAGCCTTTTCAGCAACTACAGTGACTTCAATGCAAACTGACTGAGTTCTTCTTGGGTTATAGAAGTGTGTAATAAAACTTCAGGCCTGCTGGTGGGCCCTGGCCATTTAAGGGGTTAAATAGCTTTTGGTGCTTTAGAAGAGCATTAGCTATGTTTCCAATGAAAATGTGTTAAAAAATGTTTTGAAAGCTGCTCGGCAGCTGGATTCCATCAAATTGATTTTAGTGACTGAAAAGTGCTTTGTTTCCATAGCTACATCAAAACTTTTGAAGTATTTTGTAAAGAATTAATTGGACAGAAACTACTGAGACTGTGTCTTTGTCAAAATCCATTCATTGTGGATGGATACATGCAGGATGTTGAGGTAGATCAGTTCCCAAAATATTAATTATCAGTATTCCATATAAAACTCAGAAGATGTGAAGGTTGGTTTTGGATAGTAAATACAACGGCTGTATTTGTGTTGTAGTCATGATGACTCCTGGTTCCTATCACCACCACTGTAAAGAAACTTGAGTCTGTACATCAACTTGCTCTGAAATAACTTTGTTTACATCTCAACAATTGAATTATGAGCTCTCTTCTAACTGGCTGGCTTGTATTATGCCTGATTCAAAAAGCAGTCCAGTCTTAAACCCTACCTATAACTTTAGTGTCAGTGGGCAGGGATAAACAATGCAGTCTAAATAGATGGATATATGGAAATATGTTGGCATTAAGCTGCTTAATTTCCATATGTAGACGGCTTGGACTGTGGCGTGAATGGCATGTTTTAAACTTTAAATGTTTAAATGTTTATATATGATATCAAACTGCTTTATTTCAGAAATATGTGGAAAATGTAGTTTTCATAGGCCTGTTAAGGAGACCTACACTATATGGCCAACAGCATGTGAACACCCCTCGCCTTGCAGTCTCAATAGACAAACACTGGCAGTAGAACGGGTCCTGAAGAGCTCAGTGACTTTAAATGTGGCAGTGTCATTGGATGCCATCTTTGCCACAAGTCAGCTTGTGAAATTTCTGTCCTGCTAGATCTGCCCCAGTCAACTGTAAGCGCTATTATGAAATGGAAGTGTCTAGGAGCAACAACAGCTCAGCCATGTAGACCACGCAAACTAACAGAGCGAGGCTGCTGAGTGCTGAAGCCTGTAACACGTGAAAATCAGCTATTCTTTTTTGCACCACTCACTACTCAAAACTGCCTCATGAAATGGGTTTCCATGGCCGAGCAGCTGCACACAAGCCTAAGATCACTATGTGCAATGTCAATTGTCGGTTGGAGTGGTGTAAAACACGCTGTCACTGGACTCTGGAGCAGTGGAAACATGACCTCGACCCCACTGAACACCTTTGGGATAAGTTGGAATGTCGACTGCAAGCCAGGGCTTCTCGTCCAACATCAGTGTCTGACCTCACAAATGCTTTTTTGGCTGAATGGCCACAAATTCCTTCACAGAATGTGGGCTGTTACAGCTGCAAAGGGGGGCAACTCAATATTAATGCCCATGGTTTTGGAAAAGGACAAGAAGCTCATATAGGTGTGATGGTCAGTTGTCCACATACTTTTGGCCATGTAGTGTATTTTGAAATGTTCTCTATGGTAGATACATTGGGCTGTGTGTTGTGTTGAGTCTACCACTGTTCATACTGCCACAAAATGAATGATGTCCATTATAGCTACAAAGGACAGATGGACATCAGAATGTAATGATGCCACTCAGACATATTGCCGCTGGTCAGAATTTACAGCAGCCTTTTGGAAGCCACTCCACTCTGCTCTAAAAGCAAAGTTTGCTGGACGTTATTGTGGAACTCATAACGTCTAAAGCTGGGGCTGCTTCAGCCTTGGTGTGTTTATCATTCGGCGCCCTGATGATGTTTTTCATAGTCAACACTGGAGCTTTTACATATCTCTTCCCCTGCGTCCTTTTCCCTCCCTATAAATGAAAGTACTTTTTTATTGCGGATTGCAGGGGAAAGCTGGATTGAAGGGCTAGCCTGAGGCGCAGTCGGGGGCACATGTTGTTTTCACCCTCTCAGGATCAATAGGAGAATATAAAGCACGGCAGATCATTTATCCAGGGCAAGACTCCAGAAGAAAGTGGACATAAAACAACAGAGGGTTGAAGGAGAGATAGAGAAAGAGAAGCACTGAAGCGCAGCCATGTGTACTGAGCAAATACAAACCAGACACATGACCTTGGGCCCTCTTTTTTAACCAACGCGAATTGAGACGCGCAGAACACAAGGCCCAGAGAGGGCGAAAGAGGGGCATCACCTTGAGACAGCGAGTGAAAATGAAAAGAGAGAGCATGAACGCTCTTACCAAGTTAACAAGTGGCCCTCCCGAGTTGCCGTACTGCAAGAAAGACATTGAATTGGATTTAATGCTCTTTGCGGCTCACACAACAAGGAGACATAAAAGTCCATTCACAAGCAAGGACAGACACTTTCAGATGCTTTGCTCTGAGCTCTGCATAAGGAAACATAAGTGCTTCGGTTCAAGAGATCTCAGCGAGCTAACATTTGTCTAATGGCCACTTGGCTGACCTAATGTGCTCCCTTGCTTTATTCATGTTCTTGGTTAAACATTTCAAGCCCTTTTATAGTCTATATCTCAGTCGTTTGAATAGTTATGCAGTATAAAAATAATAGTTCTACCAAACATATGTGCACATTAGCTTATTATTAGCTTTCAATCATGGTTAGCGATCTCAGTGTAGTTTGTGTCAGTCAATAGTAACATCTTCAATTCTGAGATATGACCATCTGACCATCGTAGTACGGGCCCTGCTGGTCACATCCCTTCTTAATAAAAATAACGTGTGGCCACAAATCACTAAGGCATGGGAACTAATGCATGGCCACGACTTAGTAGGGTCTGGGAACAACTCAGGTGTCTCGTTCCTATGTCTTACTTTTACCTATTATCTTATTCCCACACTTACTAAGTTGTGGCCATGACTTAATTATCTTGTCCCCACACCTTACTAAGTCATGGCCATAATTTAATTATCTTATTCCCATGCCTTACCAAGTTGTGGCCATGACTTAATTATCTTTGTTCCCTACATATTACTAAGTTGTGTCTATGATTTAATTGTCTTAGTCCCACACCTTACTAAGTTCTGGCCATGACTTAATCATCTTGTTCCCACACCTTATTAAGTCATGGCTACACATGGTTGTAATAACTAAGTTGTGGCTACAACTTAGCTATTAGGACTTTATTATCTTATTCCCTACATATTACTAAGTTGTGGCTATGATTCAATTATCTTGTTCCCACACTTTACTAAGTCATGGCTACAAATAGTCATAATAACTAAGCTATGGCTACAACTTAGCTATTCTGACTTAATTATCTTGTTACCTACATATTACTAATTTGTGGCTATGATTTAATGATCTTATTCCCACGCCTTACTAAGTTGTGGCCATGATTTAATTATCTTGTTCCCACACTTTACTAAGTCATGGCTACATACGGTTGTAATAGCTAAGGCATGGCTACAACTTAGCTTATATGACTTAATTATCTTTGTTCCCTACATATTATTAAGTTGAGGCTATGATTTAATTATATTATTCCCACACCTTACTTAGTCATGGCTACATTGGTTATAAGTTATGGCTAAAACTTAGCAATTATGACTTACTAAGTCGTGGCCATTAATTATTACACCTTAATTATCTTGCTCCCATGTCTAATTTGTGGCCATGGCTTATTTACCTCTTTCCCACACCTTACTATGTCATGTCTATAACTTAACTATCTCATTCCCACATCTGTCTAAGTTGTGGTCATGACCTAATTATTATGAGTTAATTAAGTCATTCCAACACCTCACTTAGTCATGGCCACAATCATAAATATCTCAATTCTATACCTTACTAATTCATGACTGTGATAATTATCTCATTCCCACCCCTTACTAATTTGTGGTGAAGACTTATTATTCACATATCACATTATATAGTATGGGCTAACTATGTCAGCTGTAAACCATTCTATCTGAGACTTCCTTCTGAAGGCCTTGAAAGGCTCCGCTTACGTTGATGATGGCGTCCGTCTGGATGTACTCCATGTCGGAGTTGTGGAGGCCGAGCTCATGGCCACCTCTTTGGGTGGTGCTGATGATGCCCGTGGTGACCGTGTTCTGCAGGGAGAACGGGCTGCCCACGGCAACCACGAACTCACCTGGCCGCAGGTCCGAGGAGCGGCCCAGCAACAGCACGGGGAGGGACTCCTGCAGCCGGAAAGAGAGAGAAATAGAAAATTAGAGAGAGATTGATTGATTTCTTACAAACACTAAAGTGCTTTTTCATTTAACTCGGATAGATTCCCTCATGGACCGGAGACAAATGTACTTTCTAAGCCTGCAGCAACATTTCAGGACGTTTCCAATTCTCTCCTTTGGACCGGTCACTGCTTTCTCGTATTGACCTCCAATATCCACAAGAGAACAAACAGTCTAACTGCTTTTCAGAACAGCAGATGCAGACAACTGATCAAAACCCTTATTCAATCAGGGACAGTCCCACTGAGACTAAAGCCTTATTTCCAGGAACGTCTTCAGCGTTGCTGACACAATACACGTTTTTTCACACAAAATACACATCGCAATATTGCACAAAAGAGCTTTCAGTGTGATCTAGTTCATAGAGTTCATTCGAAAGACTGCCATATTCCTTGCAGGGCTGGAATATGAGTAGTTATTATCCTCCGAAAACTGGGCCGTGTAGTGAAAACAGCACAAATCTCCGCTCTTCCAGTAATACCTGAAAAAGCTCCTTGCTGTGAAGTGGATAGTAAGCCTGGCTCAGAACCTGCCTCTGCCTGCCTCCACTCCTGGTCCATGCCTGGATGGGGTGCGTTTTTACTGTGAGGGGAATGACAGTCTCACTTTATTACCTGCTCTCCTCAGGCACGACGCCCTGCTCCATCCCTGCCTCCCCCCCCGCAGGCGGCCTGTGCACTACAACATCAGATGCCGACCATCTGCCTCCCCCATCACATTTCTGTCCTTGTAGCAAAGTGGCAGGCGGCCGCATGCACGACTAGGGGCCGAGTTAGCGTGACTGCCAGTCACTGCACTTGTTTTGTGCTGCTGCCCTACTGTAGACTGCGGTAGACCTTTGGTAGAAGTTGCTGGTGCTGCCTTACTAAAACATGGCCACGACTTTACGTCTCGTTTCTGCACCTTACTAAGTCATGGCTGTGATTTAACTATCTTGTTCCCACATCTTACTAAGTCGTGGACATGACTATAACGACTTAATTATCTCGTTCCCACACTTTACTCAGTTGTGCATATGACCTAATTATTATGACTTAATTATCTCTTTTAAACGTCTAATTAAGTCGTGGCTACAACTCAATTATCTCAACCTCACATCTTACTAAATAGTGGCTATGATTTAAGTATCTTGTTCCCACATCTTACTAAGTTGTGGACATTACTTAGTTATTATGACTTAACTATCTCGTTCCCACACCTTACTCAGTTGTGCATGATTTAATTATTATGACTTAATTATCTCATTCCTATGTCTAATTAAGTCATGGCTACAACTCAATTATCTCAACCTCACATTTTACTAAATAGTGGCTATGATTTAATTATCTTGTTCCCATGTCTTACTAAGTCGTGGACATGACTTAGTTATCTTATTCCCACACCTTACTCAGTTATGCATATGGCCTAATTATTACGACTTATCTCATTCCTATGTCTAATTAAGCTGTGGCTACAACTCAATTATGGACATGACTTATTTATTATGACTTAATTATCTCATTCCCACACCTTACTCAGTTGTGTGCATGATTTAATTATTATGACTTAATTATCTCATTCCTACATCTAATTAAGTCGTGGCTACAACTCAGTTATCTCAACCTCACGTCTTACTAAATCATGGCTATGATTTAATTATCTTGTTCCCATGTCTTACTAAGTTGTAGCCATGACTGATTTATTTACTATTTATTTTATAATTACCTCATTTCCACACCCTACTATCTCATTGTTATGACTTAATTATCTTGTTCCTACGTCATCCTAAGTCACGATCCTAACTTAATTAATACGACTTAATTATCTCATTCCACGTCTTACTAATTCATGGCTATGGCTTAATTATTATGACTTAATTATCTCACACGTTTTGCTAAGATGTGGATACAACGTAATTTTCTGATCCTCTGTGTTTCCACGTCTCACTAAGTTGTAGCTATGATTTAATTTTCTCGTTTCCACACCTTACTAAGTTGTGGCTATGACTTAATTATCTCATTCCCACACCTTACTAAGTCATGTACCAAAGCAGCAGGCGGTGGTGTGATGGCTAAGGGCCAAGTTAGGATGATTGCCCCTCGCTGCGCTTGCTTCATGCTGCTGCCCTACTGTAGGGTATGGTGGATCATTACTAGTGCGGCAACAGTCAAAATTATCAATACTGATCATGAAAAATTGATGATTTTTTATTGCTGACTCCTTGTTTATTTAAAAAAGGTGTTGTGTAAAGCTTTATAAATGTTCTACAACGATACACATAGACATTCGGATAGATTGCAACACACAACAGTAAGCATAGGGGGCAATAAGGCTTGTTTCCCAGTGGTCAGTTATCCAGTCAAGACTTGTTTTCTTAGTGGTATCTAAATAGATACTGCCAAGAGAGCTGTTCCATTGGTTGGGCCTTCAGGAGCTGAACTGAAGGCTTTCCATGTTAGATTAACTACCAACATAATTAGGAAGTGACAGCGGAATCAAGTGATTGTGTTTTGCGTTACTAAGTGTGGGACCAATTTTGAAAGACAAGGGTCCCTCCACGCCCTCTGGAAGTTCTAAATACATCATTGATTTTGAATATGAGCTGCACTGTGACGAGTCACTATAAAACTGATACATGCAAGCTCAAATACATGTTAATGTCTTTTACACGCTTCAAATGTCTTTATTTAATCTTGAATTTACAATACATGTTAAAGAGAATCTCTGTTAGCTTTGTGCTTACATAGTACTGGAATCTCATAGGGCCGCTAGCAGAAATTACTATTACTGTAGAGGTGTTTTTTCCAAGTTTTTGACCGACAGTTTTGGCCTGAACTGAAGGCCTGTTATAGCCATGCTGAACTGAACTAAACACAACCAACTTGCAGGAAAACACATCAAGCTCTCCTGTTATTAGGAGACGTTAGTGGCAAAAGAAGCATGGAGTTTTTCCCTCTGCTCTAAATGTTTATGGGCCATTGATGGGTCTGTGAAGATTGATTAGCATGCACCGCTAGATTACATCCAGGTTTAATGTAAAAAAAAATGAAAAAAAAAAAACAGACATTACAACAGGCATGAAAGTAGATTGAGAGCCAAGAAATTAGCAAGAGATTAATACAGTTATCGACAAAATGGATAGGAATGGGTAATAATCACATTTGTTGAAACTTTTTTTAGGCTTTAAAAAAAATATTGGGCTGCTTTGGGGCACAGAATTCCCTTGCAACTACTGCTTGTGTCCAAAATGGCCAACAAATGGCAATTTTTAAAGAAGTGAAGTTAAACAGTTCTGAAATCTGGGGTTGCTGCAGCCCTCTCAACACCCCCACTTCCCCCAGCCCTGGCTTCGGCCCCTCTCTGCAGGCCAGAGAGAGCTCCATGCTCTTCAGACACTCTGTTTACAAAAGCAGTGGGCACTGGGAGCTGTAACAGATGTGTTTGCCATCATCGTTAGGCACAGAAACAAGCTGTAACCATGAATTCATAAGAGCAGGACCGAGCAAGTCTGGGGACAAATTGACCGTGTCAAGAAAACGCAATCTAATTTCAGGCGGCGAAGGCCCTCGCTGACGCGTCTCTGGAACATCTACTGGACTCCCTCAGGATTCATTTGCTTCCAGATGCTTTGATGTTGCTCAGCGATGGCAAGGCAGTGGACCGTGGCAATGAAACAAAGTGCTGCCACAAAACCCGCCAAGCGTGGCTACTTTGAATGAGCAGCAAATGCTCAATGAACAGCTTGACTCATAGCTCGTGTAAACATTTTCATTCCATGCTGAGCAGACAGCCGGGGAGGAGCAGGATGCTAATGATCACTTGTACATGGTGGGATGAGGTGAACTTACCTCTGAGTCGATCTTAATCAGAGCGATGTCTAATTTCTGATCCACATCTTTGATGGTGGCATCATAGTGGACCCCGCTGTTCAGCTCCACTTTGATACGCTGCTTGTTGGACAGCACGTGTGCGTTGGTCACTATCCAGCCGTCTTCGGACACAATGAACCCAGAGCCACTGGACACAGGTACCTCTTGGTCGGCGTATGGCAGTCTGAGGAAAAACATTTCTCATTTTTGAGTCGTTTTCATGGCAATGAGCCCATTTACAGGATGTATACCTTCATCGCTTCCATTAAAAGGACATAAAAAAAGACATTTTATTATTATATATATGTACTATATAAGGTGATTTGTTGAATTTAATACAGAAAAAATTAAACCAAAATATGGCCAGTGCAACTTATCCCATTATGTATATATATATGTGTGTGTGTATGTATATATATGTGTGTGTGTATATATATCCACCCTGTCACACTCACCTCCGTCACAGCTTTAGTGTGTTGGCGTTATACTTCTCAGTGTTGTTTAGCATATTAAAAAAATAAATAAATGGCAAGCGCAATGTGAAATTTAAAGTACGGAGGACAAAAATATCTGATTTCTTGACAAGAAAACATTTCAAGCAACATTTCAACTATGATGCTTTTGGGAACCTTGTGCTCTGTTCTCCTCCTCCACTGAGGTCAGATCTGATTGACCGCTGTGATTCATCCTCACCTTCTGAACAGCTCCAGGTGAACGACTGCAGGGGCGATCTTGTCCACTACGTCTGCGATGAAGTTGAATTTGTAGCGCATGCTGCCGGGGTTCCGAGAGCCTGTCGAGGAAAATGAACAATGTCTGAGGATGAAAGACCCCCTAACAGGAAAACAGAGCCACCAGTCTGAAGAAATATGGCTAATTACAATATCCAGTAATGGAAATAAATACATTTGGGAAGAGTGTTGAATCTAGATCAATGAAGCCATGTTTGCTGTGAAGTGAAGACAAAACATTGTTTACCAACATGTAGGCCAGCAGTCTTCTTCCTACACACTCCCACTAGCGTATCACTAGTACTGATTGCTTGATTAAATGCCAAGTTGTGTTATTCACAATCTTAAAGCTTCACTATGTGAGATTTGGGGATTTAGAGACCTGTCTAGTGGAAATGTGTGCTTTGGACCCCTTCCCCAATACATTTGATGATTGAGAGAGAATTTAAGGAAATTATTTCAGGCTTCAGCAGAGTATGGACATCTTATTTTAGCATTTTTTCTACTGACACAATAATGACAATAATTTCTTTCAATCAAAAAAAAAAAACCTTACGTAGTGTAGCTTTCAATCCAGGGTTTTGACCAGGATATTTAATTTACTCGTTTCTTTTCAACTTTGGTACCAACCATGAAGCGTTCTTACATTCTGGCTAAAACACTTTATTTCAGCAATCAGACTAAAACAGTATGTGTTAACCTACACCTGCCATAGATTACAGTCAGTGGACAACCAAGACTACTACAGTTAGACCTTCAGTTTGGGCCATACATGTAAAACTCAGTCAAATCAAGGAAAAAAACTATGACAAAGTTAATTTCTGCTGGAAACTAATGGGATTCTAGAATTATCTTAGCATTGAGCTAATGTCGGTTCACATTAACATTTAACCATTCTAGATTAAAAGCTGATAAAAATGTGTTTTATCTGAAGCTTGTAAAAGATATTAACATATATTTGAGCTTGGATGTCACAGTTTTACACTGACTTCTTCAGTAAAGAGTCCTGGCGTAGAGCTGCCGCTGCTGTTTTCCATTCCTAACAACTACCTGAAACCTGGTTAGGCTCTGGCTAATTCACAGCCAGTGAACTATCTAGAACATCCAGAAGGACAAAACTGACTTTCTGAAGTGACTTCACAAAACTGAGCCCTCTGTATTACTACTAGATTTGCAGAGTTCAAATACAAGAAGGATGATGACTCTATTACATAAAAAGAAACTACAATTAACAGAAGGGTATTTGTTTATATCACAGAACTCATTAGGCCTGCTCTGAAAGACTAGAACACCCTGAGGGTTCCCCACTGATTAGGCTTTATAACCCAACTTCAATATAATGCCACAGCCACGTCAGGAATTTCTTGCTTTTACCAACCTAGAACATCTTGTATGGTTTAGCAGGGATGCGGTTTGTTGTTTGCAGCCATAAAACCTGTAAGCTGTGCCACTTCACAATTGGGGTTTTGATTGTAACAGCCTGAAAACATAATTATGTTCAAGGTTAGTTGAATCCAAAACCCAGCACGATTTCTTCCAAGCTTTTCTTCTAAGAGCGCTAGCCACTGCGCATAAAGTGCCGCACAATCACCACCACGCTGCCAAGCTCCAGCCTCGTTTGGTGACCTCCCTCAGTCAGCTTTCTTAATTCTATGCATAATTTGTGGGAAGGTTTCAGCAACGCTAGTCATGTTTTTGGTCCATAGTTAAGAGCTTAACAGTCTGGATCAATGCTGTTTCTTTCAGGTGCATCCAAAAACCAAAACCAATCTGAGACAAATATTAAGGAAAATATGCCTAATATTTTCATACAAAGAAAACAAAAGACACCACATGCTGTCAGAAGCTGGTCTGAAAGCTAACGTTAAAATTGCATGCAAAACCACCATCCTTTACACAGTTGAGCAGAAAAAAAATCCTTATAGGTCAGGAGGGAAAAAATATAGCAACATGTGCTCACAAGCCACGTTTCGGAGCGCAGCGGCGGCCCCTGGGCGTCCGGGCCCCAGCTCGCCTGCTGTATGCGAGATAGCCTGTCAGAGGTGTTTTCGCTGCGTTAAATTGATGTGGGCCGCTTATATTGCAACAGCTGACGGCAGTCTCGTCTCCGCAGGCGGGCGCCGGCCTCCCCAGGGTGAACCGTAGCAGGTAAACAGTATCAAAAACGTCTGATGGATCCTCATAAGAGGGAGAAATGAGAAATTGGAGCGTGACACAGCCCAAATCTATTTCCAAGAGGTTCTGCAAATAGTCCACTGTGTCTCTACAGTGGTGCAAACTACAGGCCAAAGGTATGGAAGCAAGACTACTTTTGTGAAAGTACAATTATTTTCAAAGAGATTATGAACAGTTATCTGTAGCTGGTGCAATCTATCGATCTTCTTCATGTGCTCATGTTAACCTGCCTTCCAGACAGGTTCGACCACCATGGAGCCACTTCTATGTGCCATAGATCCACTTATTATGCCTGAGAGCCTAACTTGCTTGTGCCACTCGCTCTTCAATACGAATATAAGCCTTCAGTCATTGATACAATTGATCCTAGTTGGGAGATTGAAGACTAGGATCTCCCGACAGTAGCAGCAGCACTTAGATTAGTTTTTTAGATATTCTCAAAGATTATTTTAGACGGTTCTTATTCTTTGCTAATGCAACATCACTGCACAGCTCAACACCCTTGGAGGAGAACACTAACTGCTAATTCTGTCCATTAGCTAATAGACGCTCATGTTGGCTAGCATATTGTTGAGTGATGGAGGCAAAAGGAGGACCACCCTACTCTACCAAAGAGAGAGGACAGTTATGTTGTGTTAGACTCTTGGTCACAGATTTGGCACCATCAGGGACAATAGCACAGCTCCCTCTGAGTCTTGGTTCCTTTCAGTGTTTCTTCCTCATCTTTTAAAACAGCATCTTATTTTAAGTCTTGGTTCCTTTCAGTGGTTCCTTTTCATCCTCTTAGGGAGTTTCTCAGTGGTTCCTCCTCATCCTTTTAGAGAGCTTCTTCTTTTAAATCTTGTTTCCTCTCAGTGGTTCCTCTTCATGCTCTTAGAGAGTTTCTCCTTTTGAGTCTTGGTTTCTTTTTGTGGTAGTTTCTCCTGCTCTTAGTCAGTTTCCCCTTTTGAGTCTTGATTCCTCTCCATGGTTTTTCCTCGTCCTCTTAGAGAGCTTTTCCTTTTGAGTCTTAGTACCTCTTAGTAGTTCTTCTTTATGTTCTTAGTCAGTTTCTTCTTTTGAGGCTTGGTTCATTTCAGAGGTTCTTGCTCAGAAGAACCAAGTAGGACCCACCTCTTTTGGGATCGGTTTAGAAATTACACAGTTTGTTCCTATTCTAAAAAGTCTACATTCCCACCCATATCTTCACCAAAATTTAGCATGGTTGTCCTCATGATTGGCCCCGCCAGACTACACAATCAGGTGTGTTATATTGAGTGTCGAAAGAACTTTAAACTGCTTAATAAGACACTGTTATCAACAAAGAGTGAAGGTTTTTTCCGGCAGAAAACGCTAGATTTAGAACACAGCACTTCAATATTCTGGTTGAACTACATGTCAATAAACATGTAGTGTTGACTGTTGGCAGATTGACTAAATTGTCAAATATTTCTGCAACTTTCTTGCTCCCGTACTCTTGGCCTGTAGGGTATACAAGTGTGCCTAATTGTCTATTTTCTCTGCCGAATGCAACATGACAGAACGCATATCAGTGAATTCTTCCACAAATGCAAAATTGCCGGTCTCGGCCTCGCTACCAGGGATCGTTTTTGGCAGAACTCCAACTGTTCTCATCTGTCACTGTCTACTCTCTCCACGCTCCGTCCCCTAACCCTTTATTATTTTTTAAACACATGCTCAGTAATCCGCATGGCACTTTACTGTTTCACTACTACGCCAATCTGTTCCACTGTAAGTCCCGCTGGACGGCGGCTGTTGATTTGCGAGTGCAGAACCGTGGCCTAGATTGTTTTTAGCAGCATGTAGGCCACTGAGATTCGACCTGTTTGGAGCTGTTGGCAGGGATAGATGTTGGAGCATGTCGCACGGCGTTCTCTGTCACAGGTAGCGTCCCCTCGGGCGCCGCCTTCAGACCCAAATAGTTGTGAATCTCTTGGAAAGCGGCCAAGTACACTTAGACATGTGAGACTTCATTCAAACCTTCAAGACTGCTGCAGGAGGGCTGAGCTGAGTATAATATCTACTGTCATGTTATTTTGGAAATAAATCTATGGATTAATTGGCTCATCTCTGACAGGCCTGTGTTCCGCAAGATAAAACACGCTGTTGGAGGGTGTAAAAAGAGAAGATAAGCTAATGACAAAACAAATACAAGTATTACACAGCAATGACTATGTTAGTCTCTGTTTTATAATGGAATATACATTCTTTTTACCCAGTGCTTACTTTAATTTTTTTAATAATAGCTTTTTTTTAATGAGCCATTAACTGATCATTCATAGCTGTGAGGTAATCAGATTTTGAAAATGTACAAATGTTTATAAATGACAGTTCATGCAGTTGTTGATGTGTGTATTCATATTTATAAACGATGTAGGGGAGCAAAATACTGAGGGGATTTGTCAACGTTTTAAAGAAATCTGTGCCAAAGAGTGTTTTCAGGGCATGTATGTCTTTTTTTCAACACAAGTTTTTTTCAGTCACTGAGCTGTTTGAGTAACTCACAAAATCCAACATACCACCGTTTTGAAACAGCTGACAAGCTCACAGCAAGTGCTAGTTAGGCTTATATAAAACCTCCATACTGCGGGGTTAGTTGTCACAGTGTTACAACTAAGCCACCTTTAGAAACCAAAGACAAATAAAATACATTTTGTCTTTTTGTTCTATAGGTTTGCACAGATTTTACGATGAAAAAGAGAAAACATCTGAGAATCTGACATTCATTTTCTTCTACTTCATTAGTGTCTTTCAGATGTTAGTATTTTGATTTTAAATAAGAATATTAATGAAATTGACATTAACAGCTGGTAAAGCTGTAGTTTTTCAGAAACAATGTTCCATATTTTACTGATGTGTGATGTTTTTTGTTTGCTGTCTTCCACTG